TTTTATTAGTTTTTTATTCTTTTTGCTTTCATACTTTTGACATTTTTTTGCTTTCATTTGTCATTTACTCTTTCAAGTTTCCTTTATTCTTTCTTCTTTTCTTTCTTCTTTTCATTCTTCTTTCCTTTACTCTTTCTTCTTTCATTTAATCTTTCTTTGTTAACTTTTGTGTATTTTTCTTCCTTTCTGTCATGTTTTCTTTCTTCTTTTTCCTTTCAGGACGTTTCTTCTTTACCTTGTCCCACTTTTATTTTTCTTTCTTTTCCCTTATCTCATTCATTTGATAATTCTTTCTCTCTGTTTGTCTTCACTGTATTCTCAGTTTTCATTCATTTCCACCCCCCATCATATCTTCCTTTTTCTTTTTCACATCTTTTAGTAGTTTTTTCCTTCATTGTTTTTATCTCTTCATACCTGTTGCTTTTTTCTTTTATAAGCTTACTTTAACCTTTTTTTCTTCCTTTTTATTTTTTCTTGTATTTTCCTTCTTTCTTTTTTCTTTCATTCATTTCTCTTCATATCTCATTTTTCATTCATTCTTTCTTTCTTTTTCTCTTTCTGATTTTTTTTTTCTTCATACATTTTTCTGCCTTTTCTATTTTTCTTTTTTCTTTCTTTTTTTTCTTTTGTTCTTTTTTCTTATCCCTTTTGCTTTCTTTTCCCCTAATCTTTCTTTTCTCTTTTTTCTTTCTTTTCCCTTTTTCTTTCTTTTCCCTTTTTCTTCTTTTCGTTTTTTCTTCCTTTTCCCTTTTTCTTTCTTTTCCCTTTTCCTTCCCATTCTCTTTTTCTTTCTTTTCCCCTTTTCTTTCTTTTCTCTCTTTCTTTCTTTTCTCTTTTTCCTTTCATTTCCCTTTTTCTTTCTTTTAACTTTTCTTTTTCTTCTTTTTTCTTTCTATTTCTCATTCTTCTTTTCTCTTTTTCTTTCTTTATTTTCTTCCTCATTTTCTTTTATATTTTTTTTCTCTCTTTTTTCTCTCTTGGTATCTTCATTCTTTCTTCCCATTTTTTCAGAATTTCATTTCTTCCCTTCTTTAATTTTTCTTTCTGCCTTCCATTTTGCTAGATGTTGTGTTCTTTCTTAAAGTTTACTTCAGTAAACTCATAGATTGAAAGTCTTCTTTCTACTCCTCAATCGTAAGGATGGAAGTTGCATTATCTATAAACACTGTGTATTATTTGAACCCCCTTCTTAAACACCTAGGCCATGACACCCAACCATGATTAAATGCCAGAGTAAATTAAATAAGCATATATATATATATATATATATATATATATATATATATATATATATATGAGTGCTGTGGGGTCATACATATGCCTTTTTTGTATATATATATATTTTTTATATGTATGACTCTAAATACATTCATCATAAACATAATTCAGTGTCTGGTTGGGGGTGAGGGAGTCTTTCAGCTACAAGGATGGAATATCAGCTTCAAGCCAAGATAGAAGGGAAGCATGGAGGAAAAACACCCAGGAGGAAAGCTAAGGCCAAACGTGAAATAATGAGCACGGAATTGAAACAGATGGTCATCGAAGACTTGAGAATCTCCTGCAGAAATGGAAAATGTGTGGAATATTCATAATCTGATTGAGTGTGAAGGGGAGCCATTAATATGTATGCATACATATCTGGAATTCATACGAGGTGCGCATAAGGCATGGTGTGCATGGGTGTGCAGAATTTATGTTATTTATGCATGCAAGTGCATATGTGAGCATGCATGGATGCTAGTGTAAGAAAGACGGTAATGTATGTACGTGTGTCTTCATGTAAGTTTGAACAAAATTGTGGGTATGAGAGTGTACAGATGATGTCTGTTCCGACAAAAAACCAAGCCATTTTGAATAGCTCAAGAACCATTTCAGAAGCATTGATATAAGTTGGTAACCAATCAGAGAGGACCTTACTAAACATGAGTGAATGCATTCAGACTCATGGGCTTACTCACTTGGTAGAGAGACGTCACCAAGTGAGTTTTTGTACGGTGTGATTATTGCATTTATAATGTCTTCACCTCCGTTTATTATTATTTATTTTACAAAAGATCACGTTACCAAATTATCCTTGCTCTACTAAAGTCAAAACTTTGCTAAGCTTATTTTCGTACATGAAACGTAAACCTCAAGTTAGCAGATTTTGACTTCTGAATGTCCCCGTGAGAGATGTGCATTTCTTAAATAGAGTAAATAAGCCCTTTTTGCTCTGATGACTTCTAGTAGCTTAATGGTAAAGCCTACTTGGCTTGAAAGTTGTTCATATATATATATATATATATATATATATATATATATATATATATATATATATATATATACACACAAATGAGAAAAAGAACAAATGAAGTAATGTTGTACCAGTTCAGGCAAATGGTAACTGAAACACTCAGAGGTGGCAGACTGCTTCATGCTAAATGCAATCATCTTCATATATATATATATATATATATATATATATATATATATATATATATATATATATATATATATATGCCTCTTTGTGCTCTCTTTCTTTCTCCCCTCTCTCTCTCTCTCTGTATATATATATATATATATATATATATATACGTATAAAACAAAATTGTCCAAATGGGAGTAACAGTATAATTGTCCATCCTACAAAATGTTTAATATCTAAAAAAAAAACATTAAACTAATTGAGTTTCTTTTGCAAAGGTTGGAAGATACATTTAGCCATCTTGTCACCATTTGTCATGAGAATCACTGAAAATCTTCTGAGTTATTCAGCTAGAAATATAACAGGATAAAATCGTTTTGTGTCTGCCCAACTGTCTTTTCAACTGAGCAGTGGTGGGTGAGAGGGACGGTTGTTTTTTTTTTTACAGTAACGTTCACCCTGTACAAGGCCAGGGGACCACTCGAGGTAGAGGGTTACATTAAGTAGTAATTTATACTGATAGGATGGAGAGATAACGGTTAACTCTAAACTTGAATAGGTTCAGATTGTAGAGATCGGAAAAATATCCTCTTGGGTGTCTGTTCTACAGGGCAGTGGTTTGCGGGAAGAAGCTATTCCAGTGAAAATTACTTTACGCCAATGGAATACAGAGGAAATGTGGGTACTTTGCTATTATGTAAGTAGCATGGCGGGTCCTAGCAGTAAAGATCAGACCTCAAGAAACAGCTATTTGATTATATCAATGTCTGAATATTGTTTAAGATGTGCTACTGTCACCATACAGTGTTGGTTGCTATATCTACAAATGATCTATCTCACATCTTAGAGACACTTCCCCCATAAATACAACAAATTGTAATCACGGTTGTTGGTAAGCATGCTTTATTTTTAAAAGACGTTAGACTCTTATATATATGCTTCATCTGTGTGAGTGTGGGTATGAGAAAGTTTTTTTTTTGTTGTAAGAAGTTAATCTCTTGTATATGCTTCTTTCTGTGTAAAAAAAAGATTCTATGTATTTATTATATTCAGTATGCGCCTGCGCAAATGTGTAGATATGTGGAGTTTAAAAAACTGTTTAAATCCATTTTGGGTTATAACGGGATACATACATACACATCGCTTACAAACTCCAATTAACGGGGATTCACATTTACAAACAGTACAGGCACAAAATGGCCAAGAAAACTTGAAAGGGACCTGCCCTTTAAAAAATTCATCTAACCATCTTTCGCAGTGCTAAATTGTCTTTTCAATTCGCGTAAAGACTCGGTACTTGAACACTGAAAACTGTGTCTTTTCTTTGTTCCCATAATTAATACATACATTCCATCAGACAAATAGTTATGCATAAACAGTGCATCAGTGATGCAAGTATTTAGATATTTAGCCTTTATAAGAACGATTATCATTATAAACTGGGTCTTCGAGTCATTCCCAAGCGGTAACCAGATTGTGGGCTGTTGAACCGAGATACGTATAGTTATTTTCTAAGCGTAGCTTAGATGTGGCAAAAGGCCGAAAGTATGGGACACCTAGTGAGGATCGAACTCACTTTTCAGTCGTAACTGATCCAGCGAGACAAGCTTGCTAACTTTTACACCACGCCGAGGTGCCCTTTTTTTTCTAAACGTAGCTTAGATGTGGCACAAGGCTGAAATTAGGGGGCACACAGTGAGGATCGAACTCACTACTCAGTCGTAATTGTTCTAGCGAGCCAAGCTTACTAACCTTTACACCACCTCGAGGTGCCCTAGAGATTTTCCAAGCGTAGCTTAGATGTGGCACAAGGCCGAATGTACGGGGCACCCAGTGAGGATCGAACTCACTACTCAGTCGTAATTGTTCTTGCAAGACAATCTTGCTAACCATTACACCACCTCGGGGTACCCGAACCGAGATACGTATATTGTCTTTTCGTCTTTTCTCTCAGTTAAATATTGAAATATGCCCACAATTTTTGCATACGTATGCAAATACGTATATCCTTTTATAAATACTGATATGCCTCGATCTACACCTCAGTATGGGAGTACTAGTTAGCTAGTCTAGTTTGGTTGAATATTACTATTGAGTAGTGAGTTCGATCCTCATCGGGTCGCCTTAACACGATTCGAGATTAAATAACCAAAGTACATTACTTTTATTCCGGTCACTTGAAAATGAATATTTAAATAAAATTGTGTTGTTTTTGTTTACAATTGATTGATGGATTCGTTTACTACTGTTTATCAACCCTTTGCTGATTATTTAAAGCCAGAAAATATTTTTAAGATTATAAAATTATTTAAAAAATGACTTCAAACGAAATCCTTCATCAGAACCTAAAGATTGTTTCATTTTCTACGACTTATAAACCCTTTACAGGTTATTTAAACCAGAAAATAATTTAGATCGTAAGAATTCTTTGGAAGATAATGGTTTAATGACACAAATCTTACTAATTAACCCATAGCTGGGTGGAGAAGAGGTGGATTTATACCTTTCCCAAGTGAACATAACGAACCTAACTGGAATTAGAACTCGCCTCTTCCATTACGAATTCCGAGCTATTATCCATCACACCACCCGCAAGCTTACATCACCTGGTATTCCCAAACAGTCACCCATCTAGGTACTAACCATGTTCGACATTGCTTAACTTCAGTGATCGTACAGGAACGTTAAGTGGCTGTAAGCCTTGCTTACATTTGTCGTGGCGACTAGGCGACAACAAACATTAACGGTTAACCACTTGACTTTTAGAAACATTTAATTTCTCATAAATACAGATCAGTATTATGTCCGTGTTTTTTGCTGCAAGCTAAAATAATTCATCAAGAAAATCTTCATCAACCTGTAAACTCTCTATCAATCACAGGGCCTCAGCTAAAACCCATCCGGGTGGTATTGACGTGGTTTCATATTTTACGGCGTGGAATCGTTATACCCACGCGCAACAAAGAATTGTTCTTCTCTTAGAATGATTGGTAACCAAAACTAAGCAACCCAATCTCTTATTTAACGCATAGCTAAGGTGGCTAAAGAGGAGAAAGATCTCAAGTGCCAGAATTCGAACTTGGCTTACCGATCCAGCACTCGCTACATTCTACACAGAAGCACGTAATAAATTATTAAATAAAAACGAGATTTTAAAAAAAATGAACTTTTAGAAAAAGGCGCTTGGAATATTCCCAGATATTTACATTAAATATTATTCAAAATTTCCTAACTGTGATTTTCAAATATGAGGATTCAGTACATTCTTCTTTTATGTGCTGTGCCACTTCAGAACGTGGGTGATCACTGCCTCCATGACTTCCTATCCCTTGTAACTCTTAGCAATTTTGCCTTTTTACTATCTTTCCAACTCCCTGTCTTGTCATTTATTTACACAAGCGCGTTAAGGATTTTACTCGTTGTTTTTCCCCGGCTCTCTTGCCTTCAATATGTCCTGTGAGTGTCAAAATTTCCAAGACTTTCCTCATTATGTGTCTTTGAAATTTCAATTGTCTTTTGCTGTTTCTAATTATGAGTTAACTTTTTGTTTCCCTTAAAACTTCGTCAAATCTCACATGTTCAGTCCATGTTATTTGCAGCATCCTTCCATAGAAGCACATTTCTGTTGCCTCAAGTCTTCTTTTCATCTGTAAGGAAAGTATCCAACATTCGTTGTCATATATACAAGGATTGATATTGCTTAGCACCTGAACACACTTTTCCTATTTCTTAAATTGTTTAAATCTATGATCTTATTCAGATCAAAAGCCCCAATTTAAACCTTCCGCAGTTGGTTAGATTAAAATTTCACATGTTGACTTAATTTTACCCTTGTAGTGGACCGTGGCTGTGATGTTGTTGAGTAGACGTAGAAGAAACACATGTGGGTTCAGATTTTCCTGCTAGCCGGTCCAACTACATGAAAAAGTTGGACTTTAATTAAGTCCAAAGAATGCAAAGAAAACAAACACAAGACCGATAAACATATGTATACAAATATACATATTAATAACAAATTACATGGAACAGTTACAAAGGACAAAGTGTGTGTGAATATTATATACGTGTGTGTGTTTATTGTGCTTAGCGTGTTCCCAGCATTTGGGAAACGCTATCTCTGTGAGCGCTTGCATTTGCGAGGTGGTAAGGCTGAAAGCCTGAGGAAAAAGAGAGGAAGAGGTGAAGGGTCAGCGACTATTTATAGCCAAGGAAGAGAGACCCCCTGGTGAAAGGGTTAATGAACTAAAGGAGAAGTTAACTCCGACACCCTCATATATGTGATTTTGTGATATCCTCAGACGTTTTGGCTTTCACTTCTATCGGAATTCATTAAAAGTTTTGTCAAACATGGATAAACATGCCTACAATAAAACGGCATGTCAAATCTACTTTCACTTCTCAGCAATGTTTTTTTGTAGAAAGCGTTGATTAGAATTTTGATAAAACCTAAACATGTGTTATGAATAATCAAGAGTGGTCTTCCCTTGTTTTGTTACTCTCCTCTTTGAGAGAGATATTTCTCTTTTACTGGGACTATAAAAGATAACTATACGTGAAACTTGTATTCTCAGTTGAGTAAAGCTTTTTTAAAGCCTACACCTGCGTACTTTTTTCATTACAATATGAAAGTGAATTCATACATTTTCTTTGTTCTTGAGAATTATCAACCAAAAATGATAAACACTATTTATTATATTATTTAGTGCAATGATTGGCAAAATATCGATAATTGTCAATTGGTTTAAACTTTATAAAATGGTAAATAACAAGGATTTCCTTGTAGTTGGTTCACATATTTTAATAATCTACTAAATGTTTATAAATATATGAATAAATTTTTTCCCATATCTTTATTGGTAAATAATAAATATTGCATTGCATTACGAAAGTTTTAAATTGTATTAATTTTTAGAATGTTTTAAATGTATTCTTGTAAATAAACAATAAATAAATAGTTTAATATTTTTGCTGTAAATTCTCAAGAAAAAATTGTATAAATACACTTTCATCATATGTTTGTTTTATTCCAGCGTTTTTTATAAAACATACATTGCCTTGAGAGTGAAGTTAGTTAAAGAAAAGAAAACTGGTGTCATGGAAAAAAAAAACGTCCTTTTGACACTACGTCTTACTGTGGGCACGGTTATCAATATTTTCCAAAGTTTTAGTATCTCGGATTAAGGCTCAACCTTAAGGATTACTTTCAAATATTTCTATTTCACTGGGATTTCGCTTTGTTTGGTTTTATTTATTTATTGTATTTACAGTTTCATCATCCTATTGGTAAGTTTGTCATTGATTTTTCCTGATTGAATGCTTCTATTTGATTGGTCAATTTGGAAGGCTGGGTTTTTTTTTTTTTTCGTTTCCTCCATTTGTTACGCTTTTTTTTAGTAATTTGTTTCTGATTGGTTATTTTATGTGCACCTACTTTTCATTAATGCCTTTTTTTTTTTGGTACAGAATTTCGCTTTTATTCAAAGGTTATTTCAGTTTGTTCCGAGTTTTTCAGTGATCTCTATTGATTGTTGTTTATTTTCTTGCTTTATTTATCTATGCATTTTTTTGTTTTGTTTTAATTCTTTATTTTATTTTATTCTGACGTTTTCTTGGTTATTTCTGATTAGGCACATTCGATTAGGTCTTTTTGTCTAACCAGCTGCATTATTTTTTATACGTTTATTCCACTTGTCTTTTTTTTCTGCAGAATTTCAGAGCGACATAAATTCTTTAAGTGCCTGATATCAGATGACAACAATAGGCTCAAAAGATTTGTTTGACTCCATTCACCCCACCACCACGTCCGGCGGTTTGCTAGGATCAGATCTAATCTTGTTGAAATGCTAACAATAGCACTGTTAATAGCAAAAACCAATTTACTTAGATCTCATTGGAGCAAAAAGTGAAATTCTACGGTTAATACTTTGATTAGTTGTTTCTGATTGGTTGTATTTTTTTCTGTTTTCTGATTGGTGGATTCTTTGTTCCTGATATTTTTTCTACTTTTTATATTTGTGTGCATGTTAGTGTATGTGTGTGTAGCATTCTACTTTGTTCGTATAATGTCCGTTGTTATTCTATCTTTATATACGCGATTAATAAGTGTGCTGTCGTTTGCTTCTGCTGTTTATTTTACCTTCTGTTATAATTACATTCACAGGAATGCACTTTCGCGAATGTAAGGACATATCTATTTACTAAGTGTTCTCGAGTCTAACACAATGTTACCGTGGAACTCCGAGAGCAAGTGGCTCACTGCATTTGTAATAATCTGCAGCACTGACTTTCTAAGTCTTACTCTACAGATGTGCAAAAATACGAATAGCCATAGTTGCAAACTCACTCCTACGCATAGGCAAACAAACGTATACACTCATCCACAGCGATCGTCCACAGTGTCAAATCACCCATAGCCTATATGCATATATAGGAAATAGTATGAACTCAACTGTTGATTTCGATGCCTCCTCTCTCTATATATATATATATATATATATATATATATATATATATATATATATATATATATATATATCGTTGTGTGTGTGTGTGTATTTTATTCATGAGTCAACTAGTAGTTTTAGGCACCCTAAAATCAGCCTGAAAAATCGACCATAGTGAGATCCAAATCTCGGTCTCGCTTTTCGACCATGAGACCAGGGCTTTTCGACCATGAGACCAGGGCTTTTCGACCATGAGACCTGGATTCGAATCTCTCTATGGTCGATTTGTCAGGCTGATTTCTTGATGCTCTCGGCGCGGCGATTACAACCTGCCTAAAACCTGCGGGTTGACTCAAAGCCTTGTGAATGAAATGGCTCGCAGATGGCGGTGCTATCATTAGGTCACAATCCATCGCGACCGAGTTTTCGACCGTACCAGCCTTGTTCAAACTGTTGACCACGTCAACGTCAAATATTGCACTCACTTCCATAAACTGTCAGTAAGATCCTCTTTGCACACCTGCTGTATAAACCACAGGTGGGCCCTGTGGATATTGAATAAACACAAATGCAACCAGAAATTGCTCAAATTAATGCTAAACACATCTGGGCCTATTTTGGCGAGGTAGGTTAGTATACACACCTTGTGGGTTACCCAAGATTATACGTTCGGGTTCATCATGATGGGTATAAAAACACTGCAATGCAATGGTCTGTGTCGACCACGCGACGATTGGGCATATTGGCGCACATGAAACTGATTGTTGCGGCTAGCCATGAGGCCGAATTATGAAAATTAAATATCATTTAGGGTCTGTCTGTATTGTCGGTTGCACCTATTTTGGGAGTCTTAGTGTCCTTTTACAACAGGATTAAAAATGTTAAACAGGCCTAAGTTCATTTTTATATATTCGAGAACTTTCGACTCCAACATAATTATGAATTCTTGATGCCTAAATACAATTTTTTTTTTAATATACATATAGTGTGGAAACTCTGGTTGCAAACGCCTCTCATCACGAACAATTTGGTTCACGAAAACAGTTCCGAGCAGAAAACGTCTTGCGTGATAAACTGTGTCTCGAATGACGAAACATCAAGCCGGCAACAACATGGAGTGACAAGCCCGGGAGTATCAGCGGGAAAGCGTCAGTTGCAGTGAAGGTGAAGAAGGAAATCATAACCAAAAATGAAAATGATGTTCATAACTTTGATCTTTCTACTCAGTTTGGAATGGCAAA